GGAGCTGCGCAGCGCGGTCGGGATCTGAGATGCGCAGCCGCGCCTCGAGCGAGCCGCCGCGCATCAGCGGCGAGAGAAGGCAGACGCCGTCGGGCGAGAGGCAGTAGCCGAGCAGCGGCAGCAAGTGCGGGTGGCTCACCGCCTTGAGCAGCTTGACCTCGAGCTCCGCCCGCGACAAGCCGCCGGACTGGCCCGACTTTGCCCGCTTGACGACGAGCGGCAAGTGGCGCAGCTGCGGAGGCGCGGCGAGGGAGAGGTGGAGGTCGGCCGACGCCTCGTAGACATGGCTGAATCCGCCGCTGCCAATCAGCTTGCCGTCGGCAAACCCGTCCGTAGCCGCGGCGAGGTCCGACAAGGCTATCTCGACGGGCCGAGCCACAGCCGCCTCTTCCGCCGCGGCGACAGACAGCTCTCCCAGCTTCGACTCTGCCGCGCTCACCTCCTCGGCCAAGGCAGGCAGCACGCCCACGTGCGCCTTGGCGGCGGCGATGCCCGCTCGGAGCGCGGAGGGGCCCTCCGCTGTGTCGAGCGACTTGAGCGCGCCCATCGCCGCGCCATGCGCCTTGCGCAGCCGCTGGCTGTCCCGCTTCCGCGCCTCCTTGAGCTTGTCGCGCGCGCGCCTCGCCGCCGCCAGCACCGCCGGGCTCGCGAGGCCGCTGCACGCCTCCAGCGCGCTGGCCATGCCCTCGTACGAGCCAGCGGCCACGGCCTGCTGCAGCGCCTCGTCCGCCGCGGCGATGGCGGCTGCGTCGGCGGGCGGAGGAGATGGGGCTGGCGGTGGGGTTGGCGGCGGCAGAACGGCGGTGGCGCTGGGGCCAGGCGCCGCGTTGTCTGCCTCGCCGCCGCCGCTCTTCTTCTTCTTCTTCTTCTTCTTCTTCTTGCTCTCCTTGACGCGTTCCTCCTTCTCCGCCTCCTCCTCCGCCAGCAGCGCCTCGGCATGCCGCGCCGCCTCCGCCTCTGCCGCCGCTCTCTCCGCCTCCCTCGCCGCCGCCGTCTCCGCCGCCGCCGCCGCCGCATGCTCCTCGAGGGCGCGCACGCACTCGGCGTGGTCCTCCTCCTTGGCCAGCTGCAGCGCCGTCTCGTCGCTCGCACTGCGCGCCGCCGTGTCTGCGCCCGCCCGCAGCAAGCGCCGCACGACGGCGGGGCGGTTGAAGAGGACGGCGGCTATCAGCGCGGTGCCGCCGTTGCTGCTCTGCAAATTGACCTCAGCGCCGTGCCGAATCAGCAAATCGACCACCCGCTCGTGTCCGATGCCGGCGGCGTCCATCAGCGCGGTGTCGCCGACGCTGTTCTGTGGGTTGATCTCCGCCCCGTGCCGAAGCAGCAGCTCGACCACCTGCTCGTGGCCTTTGATGGCGGCGTGCATCAGCAGCGTGAGGCCGCTCACGCCGTCTCTCTCGTACGTCGCGTTGACCCGCCCGCCGCCCTCGAGCCACGCCAGCACCGCCTCCTCCTCGCCTCGCCCAGCCGCTGCGACGACCGCATCGGAGACTGCCACGCCACCGCTCGGCGCCCGCCCCGCCGCCAACGCTGGAGATGGCGTCTCCGCGACTCTCGATCCAGCCGAGGAAGCGCCGCCGGAGGAAGCGCCGCCTGCGCCTTCGCCGCCGGCTGTCGTCGCCGTGGGCCTTCCCGCCACCACCTCCTGAACGTGCTTCTTGAAGGCCTCGACGCACTCGGCGTGGTCCTCCTCCTTGGCCAGCTGCAGCGCCGTCTCGCCGCTCGCACTGCGCGCCGCCGTGTCTGCGCCCGCCCGCAGCAAGCGCCGCACGACGGCGGGGCGGTTGAAGAGGGCGGCGGCTATCAGCGCGGTGTAGCCTTTGCTGTTCTGCAGGTTGATCAGCAAGTCGACCACCCGTATCAGCAAGTCGACCACCCGCTCGTGGCCGAATCCGGCGGCGGCTATCAGCGCGGTGCCGCCGTTGCTGCTCTGCAAATTGACCTCAGCGCCGTGCCGAATCAGCAAGTCGACCACCCGCTCGTGGCCGTTGCTGGCGGCGTGCATCAGCGCGGTGCCGCCGCCGCTGTCCTGCAGATTGACAGCAGCGCCGCGCCGCATCAGCAGCTCGACCACCTGCTCGTGGCCGTAGTTGGCGGCGAGCATCAGCGCGGTGCGACCGTTGCTGTTCTGCAGGTTGAGGTCAGCGCCGCGCCGAATCAGCAAGTCAACCAACCGCTCGTGGCCAGTGCAGGCGGCGCCCATCAGCGCGGTGCCGCCTTTGCCGTTCTGCTGGTTGATCTCCGCGCCGCACCGCAGCAGCAGCTCGACCACCTGCTCGTGGCCGTAGTTGGCGGCGCCCATCAGCAGCGTGAGGCCGCTCACCTCGCCTCTCTCGTACGTCGCGTCGGCCCGCCCGCCGCCCTCAAGCCACGCCAGCACCGCCTCCTCCTCGCCACGCTGCGCTGCTGCGACGACCTCATCGGAGACTGCCACGACACCGCTCGGCGCCCGCCCCGCCGCCAACGCTGGAGATGGCGTCTCCGCGACTCTCGATCCAGCCGAGGAAGCGCCGCCGGAGGAAGCGCCGCCTGCGCCTTCGCCGCCGACTGCCGTCGCCGTGGGCCGTCCCGCCACCACCTCCTGAACGTGCTTCTTGAAGGCCTCGACGCACTCGGCGTGGTCCTCCTCCTTGGCCAGCTGCAGCGCCGTCTCGCCGCTCGCACTGCGCGCCGCCGTGTCCGCGCCCGCCCGCAGCAAGCGCCGCACGACGGCGGGGTGGCCTCGGATGGCGGCGCCCATCAGCGCGGTGCCGCCGTTGCTGCTCTGCAAATTGACCTGAGCGCCGTGCTGAAGCAGCAGCTCGACCACCCGCTCGTGGCCGCTGCAAGCGGCGAGCATCAGCGCGGTGAGGCCGTTGCTGCTCTGCAAATTGACCTCAGCGCCGTGCCGAATCAGCAAATCGACCACCCGCTCGTGGCCGTTGCTGGCGGCGTTCATCAGCGCGGTGTAGCCGCTGCCGCTCTGCAGGTTGATCTCCGCGCCGCGCCGCAGCAGCAGCTCGACCACCCGCTCGTGGCCGTTGCCAGCGGCGGCTTTCAGCAGCGTGAGGCCGCTCAGCTCGCCTCTCTCGTACGTCGCGTCGGCCCGCCCGCCGCCTTCGAGCCACGCCAGCAGCGCCTCCTCGTCGCCTCGCTCAGCCGCTGCGAGGATCTCATCGGAGACTGCCGCGGCACCGCTCGACGCCCGCCCCGCCGCCGCCGGCGACAGATTACCCGGCCGCACCCGCACGCTCTCGCCGCCGCCCTCGAGCGCCACCGCGTACCGCCCGCCCTCGAAGCTCTGCGCCACGCCCCGCTGCCCGTTCAGCTCGGGGCGGGAAGAGAGCCCGCCGAGCACGACGCGCTGGCCGAGCAGCGGCGCGTCCACAGCCATGCCCACTTGCCCACCATCGGTGTGTCCCCGATGCGCCCGTTCACAGCGAGCAGCCTTGTGATCTGTGATCTGTGAGGGTCCGCCCGCAGGCGCATTTTGTATACCGAGGCGGTGCCCGGTGCCGAACCTGTCGGACCTTAAGACAGCATTGTAGATCCCTGGGCGAGGGTGATGGAGAGGGCGGTCTGTCGGCGCGCTAAACCGTAACCCGCCGGGGCGGGCCGGATCCACGCACTGTCGGACCGCCCTGTCGGAGGTAGGCCGCTCGTCTAGCCAATCAGCCTTAAGCGAGCGGCCTGGCCGTTGGAATGGCCGAGAGTATCCGAGAGGCGGCAGCCTCTGCCCTCGGAGAGGGGGGGAGGTCTATGACCTACCTAGTTGTTTGTCCGGCATGCGAGGGCATGCTCGGCCGTTCGGAGTCCCCCCCTCGTAGAGGACGTCGGAGGGAGGCGAGGACGACTGTCTCTGACGGCGGACCTCAGTTACGAGCCGCCCTCCCCTCGAGACGCGAGGCCAGCGCACACTTGGGGCCGAGCCCCAGCGTGCGCCGTCCCACACGCCTCACGCGGCCTCTGGCTGGAGCGGGATCGCAAGCGAGTCCCCCAGGCCGGCGCGCGTCTTCCGAGAGAGGAGCGGGAGCGAGGGACCTCCTTAGTAAGCCGGCATGCAGGCGCATGCAGCCACGGCCGTTCAGAAACTTTCCCAGCCGTTGGAATGGCTGCGCTCCCGCCCCTCACCGGGCCGCGAACGGGTAGTAGACGTTGGCGCCGAAGAGGGAGGAGTCGCCGAAGGTCGGGTAGTCGTCGGTCATGCGGGGGGAGGAGGAGTCGGCGAGCAGCAGGGAGGAGAAATGCCTGAGAGGGTGGGAGGGAGGCGTGAGGCGCGAGGTGAGGGGGCGCGAGCTGTGCTGCTCGAAATCCTGCCGGCCGATGGCGGACGATCCGCACCGCGCGTGCCACGTCCCCGCCCTCATCGAGGCGGTGTACGCGCGGGCCGAGGAGGCTGCAGCGGCTGACGGCGGGCCTGCTGAGGGCGCCGGCGGGGGGAGGGGGGGCAAGCGCCGCCGCCACAACAAACGCGGCGGAGCCGGCGGCGGCCGAGGCGGCGCGGGCGGTCTCCGCCAGGGCGGCGACGGAGGCGGCGGCGAGAGCGGCGGCCGCCGAAGCCGTGCACGGGCTGCGCCCAGGGCTGCTGCGAGGCGAGCCTCGTGCCCGGCGGCCTGAGCCTGAGCAACGAGTTGCAGCAGGAGACTCGAGGCTCAGGCCGTCGCGTCGCGGCGGCCGGCAGGGAGAGCTCTGTTGGGGTTGGCGTTGGTCTAGAGCACCAACACGCTGTCCACCAGAGCATGGCCCGCCGGCCGGCAGCGCGCGTGCCGAGCTGAAGTCCGTGTGACCGGTGCCTTCGGCAGCGGCCGCGAGTGGCTGCAGCCACTGAGGATCTTCAGGCATCGTGGGGACGCGCGAAACTTATACTTGGGTAGAAAAGAAATAACACGGGGCGCATTTCCTGCCAGTCCCGTGCCCAGTGTTGTGCGAGGGAGCTTTGTTGTAAAATTCTGCTGCCCCAGCAATCTAAAGAAAAGAAATAACTCGCAGCGGCGCGCTTTTCCTGGCTTTTGTGTAAACATATGGCGTCCCTGCGCGCCCTCGCGGCGCTTCTACTCGTCAGCGTAAGTAGCGCGTCCAACGCAAAGGGCCAGGCGTTCCTGGACGGTAACAAGGGCGCCGCGGGCGTCGTCGTGCTGCCATCGGGCCTGCAGTACAAGGTGCTGAAGGCGGCGACCAATCAGTCTGCGCCGCGGCCGTCGGCGGGCACGCCGTGCCAGTGCCACTACGAGGGGCGCTTGCTCGACGGGACCGTGTTTGACTCGTCCCGCAAGCGCGGCTCGCCCACCACGTTTGCGCCGTCCCAGGTCATCAAAGGGTGGACAGAGGCGCTGCAGCTGGCCAAGGCAGGACGCTGGTGGGGTGGGTCAGGCCATCATCCTACACGTGCCATGCCCACCAGGCGCTGCAGCTGATGCGGGCGGGTGACCGCTGGGAGCTGTACATCCCGAGCGAGCTGGCGTACGGGTCGCGCGGCGCCGGCGGCAAGATCGGAGCCGACGAGGTGCTGATCTTCGACCTCGAGCTCCTCTCGCTCAACACTGGCGGAGTCGGGCCGGTCGAGAAGGCGGCGCCTCCGAGACACCTCCGAGACACCTCCTAGACACTCCTGGACACCTCCTAGACGCCTCCTGGACACCTCCTGGACACCTCCTGGACACCTCCTGTGGACACGCACCTCCCACACACTTCCTAGTCCTAGCCACCTGCTAGCCGCCTCCTGGACACCTCCAGGACACCTCCAAGACACCTCCCGCCACCTCCAAGCCACCTGCTAGTGTTGAAGGATAGTGGTATGGCAGTGGGGTCGGAGGGCGGCCGGGTCGCTCCGGAGCGGCCCCGCGCAGGAGGTAGCCACCTCCTTGCAGCGCGGGCCGAGTCGACCAGTCCGCACCCCGCCCGCCAGGCGATGGCGGTGATGAGCTGGTGGTGCCCTCTGGCTGTGAACAGCGTCTCTTCACACCTCTAGCTGTGAACAGGTGATGGCGGTGATGAGCACTCCGCTGCTGGGCCCTCTCGCGCCGTGGCACCTCGTGCTCCTCGCCCTGCTGGCGTACCGGTTCATACTGGGTTCGGTACTCTGGGGGTATGGTACTAGGCACCTCGTGCTCCTCGCCCTGCTGGCGTACCGGTTCATACTGGGTTCGGTACTCTGGGGGTATGGTACTAGGCACCTCGTGCTCCTCGCCCTGCTGGCGTACCGGTTCATGGGCGGCGGCGGCGGCGGGCGCAAGGTTGCGGCGAGCCATATCTCCCCACATCTCGCCACATCTCGCCACATCTCCCCATATCTCACCCTATCTGGCGCAAGGTTGCGGCGAGCCACATCTCCCCACATCTCGCCACATCTCCCCGCATCTCCCCATATCTCACCCTATCTGGCGCAAGGTTGCGGCGAGCCACATCTCCCCACATCTCGCCACATCTCCCCGCATCTCCCCATATCTCACCCTATCTGGCGCAAGGTTGCGGCGAGCCATATCTCCCCACATCTCGCCACATCTCGCCACATCTCCCCACATCTCACCCTCTCTGGCGCAAGGTTGCGGCGAACCACATCTCCCCACATCTCGCCACATCTCGCCACATCTCCCCATATCTCACCCTCTCTGGCGCAAGGTTGCGGCGAGCCACATCTCCCCACATCTCGCCACATCTCCCCGCATCTCCCCATATCTCACCCTATCTGGCGCAAGGTTGCGGCGAGCCATATCTCCCCACATCTCCCCGCATCTCCCCACATCTCCCCACATCTCACCCTATCTGGCGCAAGGTTGCGGCGAGCCACATCCTCGTGAAGGAGGAGGAGGTGTGCGAGAAGCTCAAGGCAAGCCATGTCCTCCTCCCCCTCTCCCTGCCGCCTCCCCGCCTCCCCGCCGCCTCCCCTGCCGTCTCGATCCCTGCCCCGCCACGTGGCCCTCGCAACCGTCTCGGAACCGTCTCGGAACCGTCTCGCAACCGTCTCGGAACCGTCTCGCAACCTTCTCGGAATCTCCCCAAAACCTCCCCAGAACCTCCCCGGAACCTCCCCCGGAACAGGCCGAGCTCGCTGACAAGGCTGGCGACGCCGAGGCGCAGAGGATACAATAGATAGTGAGGCGAAGAGCAGCCAGAGGAGCGGGCTGGGACACCGGCGGCGCGGTGCGGGGGGACGCGAGACCGACGATGACGGCACGCTCGAGCGACACACAGACACACACAGACTCACAACCGGCACTCCGCCAGCTGAGGCTGCCACGCACCCCGAGTGAGAGGGTAGGAGGCGGGAGGCGAGAGGTGGGTGGCCGGTAGTGGGTCCCCCACCGCGGTGTGGAACGAAACACACAAGTGCGGGGGGGGCGCTCGGCGCTGAGGCCTTCGGCTGTGGACCGTCGGCATAGAGGCCTCCTCCTCCCCCCCTCCCCCCCCCTCCCCTTCCTCGTCCAACCTTGTCGGTGCCTTCTCGGAGCCCGCTCGGAGCCCTCTTCCGCAGGCGCTCGGCAGCGCGTTCGCGGCGCTCGCCGCCGAGCACAGCACGTGCCCCTCTGGCAAGCGAGGCGGCGCCCTCGGTGAGTTCTCCCCAGATCTCGCCAGACCTCCCCATACCTCGCCAGATCTCCCCATACCTCCCTTGATCTCCCCAGATCTCCCCATACCTCCCCATACCTCCCCATACCTCCCCATACCTCCCCAGATCTCCCCAGATCTCCCCAGACCTCCCCAGACCTCCCCAGATCTCCCCAGATCTCCCCAGATCTCCCCAGATCTCCCCATACCTCCCCATACCTCCCCATACCTCCCCAGACCTCCCCAGACCTCCCCAGACCTCCCCAGATCTCCCCATACCTCCCCATACCTCCCCAGACCTCCCCATACCTCCCCAGATCTCCCCAGATCTCCCCAGATCTCCCCAGAATGTGCCGCTCCTCGTCCGAGAGACGTCCGAGACACGTCCGAGCACCCCCCCCCCCCTCCCCCCCCCTTCCTCCTGCCGGCAGGCGAGTTTGGGCCTGGCCAGATGGTACCCGCCTTTGACAAGGTGTGCTGGGGGCACAGGGAGGGACGGACGCGCGCGCCACACGCACTCTGCACTCACGGGCGCGCGCACAGGCACACCTCACACACCTCACACACCTCACACACTCGATGGCGCCCTTTGTCTCCCTTTTCTCCAGCAAAGGCTTTAGCGGCGGCCCCGGCGCCGGCGGCTGGCAAGGACGCCGCCCCACCCCGCCCTGCCTCAAGGTGTGCTGGGACGCGCCACTCATGGAGGTGCAGGGGCCGGTGCAGACAGGCTTTGGCTTCCACCTCATCCTCGTCACGAAGCGGACGGACCCGGCGGCCGACAAGGCAAAGTGAGCGCGGTCGCGCTGGCGCATTCGGCGCGATGGCGGACAGCGTCGGCGCGCATGTACAGCGGGGTCCGCCCCGGCACCGGCCGTGTCGGCGGCTGCCTTTTGAGTCTGGGCGCACTGGGGCGGCTCTGGGAGCACTCCCAACAGTAAACAGACACTTGTCGTTTAATCGAATCTCTAGCTCGCTTTTCCAGTGTGGGGAGGGGGGGGGGGGGGGCTCTGAGTTAGCACATCTGATCAGCCGCGCGTGGGGTCAATTTTATCATTTGCAAAAATGCAATCATCGGACATCGCATGTTTTTACGTATATTGTCTAATCTCTCTGCGCAGCCGCAGGGGGGGGTGCACGTGCAGCTGCAGGCGCACGAGGCAGCTTTACCAGAGACCGTGTGGAGTGTCAGTGTGGCGTCTGGCGATCTCTCTTCTCTGCACTCTGTCCCTGGAGAGAGAGCCGCCGCTCTGCGCTCTTTGAGTACTGAGAGAGCGAGGCTGCCGAGGAGGCCAGCCCCGAGGTGGCTCCCTCCCCCCCCCCGCATCCGTTGTGTCCGAGCAAAGTCTAGGACTCTATTGGAAAGTAGAAAAAGAAATAGGTGATCCAATTCCGGCTATACTGTATCCCCCCATGCGACGCCGAGAGGCATTGTGAAACCCATTACACGTACACGAATACCGGAACACGTACCGCGCCGCCGCCGCCCGCCCGAGGCGCTCTAATCCACATAGTTTAATCATAGTTGCCGGAAAGTGCCCTCCTGTCCTGCAGAGCCCCCGCCACCCGCGCCGCCCGGGCGACGGCTGCTGGGTCGGCGTCGAGCTGCGTTCCGCTCATTAGGGCGTTCGCCATCCGCCGAGCCCGGGCGTTGAGAGCCCGCGCGTTGAGAGCGGCCCAGACTTGCGGCCCAGACTCGCTCTCCTCACCCGGTGGTACGGGCCGGGGGGAGAGAGGTCTCCTCTCCCCCTTCCCCTCCTCCTCCTCCTCCCACTCCTCCTCCTCCTCCTCCTTCTCGACGTCGGCCGACTCGCTGCCCAGAGGCACCGAAGGCACCGTCGGCGCGGAAACCGGCCTCGCTCTCGGCGCCGCAACGCTCCCCGTACTGCCGAGCGCCGCCCCTCGCCCCCGGCCCACGGTTACCGGCTGCCGCCGCGACCGACTCACCACTTGAGGTAAGGCTTCGCGGCTCTCGACCGCCTCCTGCAAGGCCGCCTCGCTGTCGTTCTCCAAAAGCCGCGTGTGCGCCTATATACAGTACGCGCCATGAAGACGCGAGGGTCAGGGGGGAGGGCATGGCTGCGGTGTACAGACCGCGCCGTGTGATCTCGGGGAGCACCGCACGAATGCAAGGGCTACGAATACAATGGACTGGCTGAGTGCGTCCTCCTCTCTCGAGAGCGCTCGTCGAACCATCTCTGTGTGTGCCAGTCTACAAGCTTGTGCGCGCGCCCTGCTCTCGCGCCGCCGGCGGTAGCGCGGCAGGAAGCAGATGCAAGCGTAGAGCGCGGTCGCCGCGGCCATTATCACCAGCGAAGTGGCGAGGAGTCGGCGGGAGCTGCAGTCGATGCCCGGCGCGCCAGGGGCGCACCCAGACAGATCGCTGATGAGCCCCGCGCCGTTCTGCTTCAGCCCCTACTCGAGCGATCTCGTGTTCATCACTCTCGGGACGATCTCACCGCGGAGTAGCCGCTGCCAGCGCCTTGAGAGCGCCAGCAGCCCCGGCGGAGACAATGGACAGCACACCGGGCGCGTCTAGCGGCGACGACGGCGGCGGCAACGGCGGCGGCGAGAGCGGCGGCGATGACGGGGGAGAGGGCGAGGGCGGCGGCGGCGACGGCGTTGGCGGTGACGGTGGCGGAGGGCTTCGAGGCGGCGGAGACGGCGATGGCGGAGAAGGAGGTGGCGGCGAGGGCGGTGGGGGTAGGGGCGGAGGAGAAGGTGGCACTGGGGGCAGGGGAGGCGCCGGGCTTGGAGGCGGCGGAGACGGCGGTGGCGGAGAAGGAGGCGGCGACGAGGGCGGCGGGGACGGGGGCAGCGGGGGTAGGGGCGGAGGAGCAGGTGGCACTGGGGGCAGGGGAGGCGCCGGCGGCGGTGGGTAAGGCAGTGGCGGCATCGGAGGCGGCGGCGGCGTCGGAGGCGGCGGCGGCAGCATCGGAGGCGGCGGAGGCGGCGGCGGCGGCGGCGGCGGCAGCTTCGGCGGCGGCGGTGGCGGGGTCGGAGGCGAGGGCGGGGCCGCGGGAGGCGAAGGCGGCGGCGGCGGCGGCGGCGGCGGCTTCGGTGGCGGCGGCGGCGGGGCCGCGGGAGGCGAAGGCGGGGCCGCGGGAGGCGGCGGCGGCGGCGGCGGTCGCGGCTTCGGTGGCGGCGGCGGCGGCGGCGGGGCCGCGGGAGGCGGCGGCGGGGCCGCGGGAGGCGAAGGCGGCGGCGGCATGGAGCAGCAGCCGCGGCAATGCGGGCAGACGTGGTCGGCCCAGAGTCCCTGGAGGGAGGGGCTGGTGCAGGAGGTGCCGATAAAGTCTATGCAGGTCTGGCCCTTGCCCTCCGTGACGGGAAAGACACACGGTAAATCACTCCATGAGGTCGGCACGAGAGGCGGCGGCGGCGGAGGCAGTGGCGGCGGCGGGGTCGGCGGGTGCGGCGGCGGCGAGGGCGGGTGCGGCGGCGGCGGCGGCGGCGAGGGCGAGTGCGGCGGCGGCGGCGAGGGCGGGTGCGACGGGTGCGGCGAGGGCGGGGGCGGCGGCGGTGGCGAGGGCTCGGGAGGCGATGGATTAGGCGAAATCGGGGGCGGCGGAGGCGGTGGCAGCGCAGGCGGTGGCAGCGGAGGAGATGGAGGTGATGGCGGCGAGGGAAATGACGGTGGCGGCGAGGGCGGCGGAAGAGGCGGTGGCGGTGGCGAAAATGGCGGTGGCGATCTCGGGGTTCGAAGGAAGGAAATCCACTGCCCCGGAGTCTTGAGCATGGCAACTCAAGAGCAGCGCAGCTCGTGCACCTGCGAAGCGCGCGAGCGCGACTCACGGCCTGGAAGTGTCGGGCGACAGAGAGGGGCGGGCGCATCGCAAGCAGCGGCGGCAGTAGCGGCGGCGATGGATGGCCGAGGATGCTGGAGGTGGAGAAGGGAAGGGAGGCGGCGATGGGATCGAGGAGGTCCGAGACATATACGCACCAAGACGACGTGCTTGACGACGTGCGGGCTGATGACTGCCATGCACGCCGTTCACACTTCGCCATTTTTGAGACCTCGCGGTGGTGCACTCACTCACTCACTCACTGTGACATGCTATCCGGTTACAAGCGGCCCACCCGTGCCCTCACACGCTTGCTCCTCCCGTCCAGCTATCGAGTTCGTCGCCGCCGACGACTTCGACCCCCGCCTCGTGCCCAGGTCGGTACCGGGGGATGCCACGTCTCTCCACGTCTTTGCCGCGTGCTCGGTGCATGCCGCCGCCCTGCCTGCGACGCTCACTCTCCCGCTGTCTCACCTCCTGCTCGTGCGCGCGGCGCAGGACACCCACGAGCTCGACAGCGCCTGCCCCACCCCCGGCCCGGCCAACCCCATGCCGACCGAGTGCATCGCCAACCCACCGTTCCCCTACGACGTCGACTGGTGGCTGGAGTTTAGCGCGGGCAACTGCTCGATCACCCGCGCGGCGGATCTGATGCGTAGCACGGTGCTCGACCCCTTCACCAGCCCGGTCGCCATCAACGAGCAGTTTGTGTGCATGCACAACACGACCGACATCTGCATGTGAGACCGGCCCCTTCTCCGCTGCCCGCCCTCGAGCTCCTGCAAGCGCGCCTGCCCGCCCCTCGCCTTGGTTCCCCTTCGGCCTCGCACCGAGGGGTGGAGCGCGCGGGCTGAGGTGTGTGAGGAGGTGGGCGCACAGGCCCGGGGGGCGTGGCATGCGTGGTGTGTACATTTCGTGAGGTTGGAACTGGATCGGCGTGAGACCTGAGAGCAGCAAGAGTAGAGTCGCACCGATGCGCGATAGCTCGGTCCTCGGACCGCCGCGGCGACGCGGCATCTTTCGCGGTCAGCGTGGTCTCGACTTTCGCGTGTGCGGCCCCGTGTCGTTCGCCGTTTCCAGAGAGAGTCGGAGACACGGAGACACCGGTGCAAAGTGTGTGCGCATCTGTAACATTGCGTTCGAGAAAGCTGAACGGCTGGCGCTCAGACGCTGCCCCGGTGCCGGGGTGCCGCTGGGGCGCGTCTGGGCCCGTGTGCGTGCGTGAGGGGCGGATCTATTGCAATAGAGTATACGACCCTCCCACAAGTCCTATTACCGCGGTAGTACCGACCCAAAAAGGGGGGCAGGATGGCCGATTCGTCGCTGACACCCACTGACTGGAGTGACGGGCTCGTTGAACCATTGAAGACGCCGTGTCGATGAGCTTCTAACTCGATCGCGTTCTCGAGATACAGCTTGAGATGTGCGAGTTGGAGTGGCCTCACAGAGTCGGCGCCGCCGCTCGGCGCTCTTCTGCTGGTTTGGCGATCCAGCGCTGCTCGTCCAGACAGAGGCTGCCTCCACTCCTGAGCTGCTCAGGCCTGGTCAAGGCCATCCACTGGCATGCTCTGGGAGCGCGGATGCACAACAGATCGCGCTGCTGGACCCACGGTGGCTGCCTTCGGCCACCGGCAGCGCCGGTGCGACGACATGCTGGCGGCGGTCTTCCGCAAACTACTGTCAGGCGAGTGCACGACGAGATATGACCTGAGCGCTCGCATGTGTGCTCAGGGCACCTCAGGGCTGCTGCGTGACGCGTGGCTCGGCTCCGGAGGAGCTTGTGAATTTTCTGTGATTTTTTTGTACTAATAGTCCACGCGGCACCCTTCACACGAACACACCCAGCACCTGTCGAGGCTTCTCAGGCTCGCTCAGTCGGTCCGACCGGCTGCCCAGCACGCTCAACCGCCAGTGGGTCGCCGCCAGGGCCAGAGACAAGAGGAGCAGCCAGCACTGCCGGTGCCGCGGCTGGACGCCGACCAGGCGGAACAAGCTGAAGACGGCGGCGGCGCAGAGCGTGGCCAGGCGGGTGAGGAGGGTGGCAATCACCGGCTGGCCGAGCCAGAGCGTGTCACTGTGCAGGTCGCAGTAGAGCGTGTCGAGCGTGGGTTTGCTGATTGCGTAGTCGCTGGCTCTGCGCAGCGTGTCGACCACGAGGATGGCGGGCAGTCCCGGGTGGACGATCGAGGTGATGAGCCCGGTGATCAGGGTGCAGGGCATGACGGCGAGCATGCCGCGGTACCCACAACTTCGCATGAGCCGCGCGAAGAGCAGCAGCTGCACGGGCAGCGTGACGCAGCCGTATGCCAGCTGGAGCTTCGCGATCACCACGACTCGCTCAGCGTCGGACGCGAATGCGCTGGTCAGGAGCTCTGAGCGCTCATACCAGATGCCATGGGTGACCATTACCGATACGAAACGTTGGGCGGCGAGCCATCGCAGCGTCCTGTCCCTGGCGATGACGCACGCACCGCCAAACGCAGAGGAGCAGCACGCCTCGGCCCGCGCCCCGCTAGCCTGGCTGTCCGGAGCATCGCAGTCAGCGTGGCCTCCGCTGTCGTCGCCACGGCCGTCGTGACTGCCGGCAGCGCAGCGGCCTCCCCCTCCCTTGCCGTTTTCAGCGCCCTCTTCGAAAGACGCAGAGCGGCACCGCACCAGGTGCACGGTGGCCTCATACATCGCGCACGCGACCAAAATAGTTGGGGGCCCGAAGCGTGCAAAGAGAAGCCCTGCCGCGAACGATCCAAGCAGCAATCCCGACTGCTTCCCGAAAAAAATGATGCCGTATACTCGCTTTGCCTCTGGCCGCGTGTGCACCGACGCGAGGAATGAGTCGTACAGCACGGGCGGGTAGAGGGCGACGATGCCGCCGTAGACGGCCAGGCAGTAGGCCACCGCGCGACTGTGCGGCCACGACGCGGCGAGGGCCGACAACGCGAGGAGAAGCGTCGCGATTACGCGATACGCAATGCCGATGAGCTGAATGGGCAGCACCCAGCGCTGAGCGTACTGGTAGAGAGGGTTCACGGCGAAAACTAAAAGGGTCTGGCCGACGTCGACAAGCGGCAGAAGGTCCATCCCCAGGCTGAGCGCGACCACCTCGAGCAGCGGGCTTGCAATGCCGTACGCCGCGATGACTGCACAGCCGCCGAGCGCCGACAGCCTCAGTGGGCCGACATCAGAGGGCTCGAGGTCGAAGGCGCTGCGCAGGCCCTCCCGGAATGCCCCGTCCGGCCCGAACGCCCGCAGCGACGACCGCAAGCGTTTGGTAGGGGACGCAGCCTTTGAGCGCTCAATCATCCGAGAGAGCTACCCTGGTGGCGAGACACACGGGAGGGACGTTCGTTATCTGCTTGGATGCGATTAAATTCTTGACGGCTATTTTATCTCCTCCGATAAAGAACTCGCTGACGACCGGGGCGGTCAGTCCATTACATTGTGTAGGCGCGCGATACACATTTGGTCCCGCACACTAGTGTCCGCACCGGACACTCACCGGACTGGCGTGGGCGCTGCTCGCCATGCATGAATGAAGCCCAGCATCATCCTCTTTCAGCCCGACGAGCTACGCGCCGAATGGCTCGGCTATACAGCATGGCCACCTCACCAGCATTACACCGAACCAACAAAGCCCGGCCAACCCTTCTCCCACAAGACCGGCCACGGCTACGTCAAGGCGCATCGCGGTTTCTACCACGACGCGATCTTTGTCAAGCGCAACAACTTCAACCTGCTGCTCCACGAGACGTTCGGCGGCGGCTTCTCGCCCACCGCCGTTCTCAAGCTGCGCCGCCTCGCGCGCAAAGTCGCGCGCGGCAGCGTTGACCGCACGGCCTACTCGCCCAAGTACTCGCTCTCTTTTATGTCCCACCATGCAGAGCGCATCTCTCTCTCTGTTGTGCGAGGCGTGAACCGCGCCATTCGCTCTCACCTGGCAACCCTGTCTGCACGTCTCGCGCGCGCGTGAACAGGGCTCCAGGCCCCAAATGACGTGTGAGTGTTAGAGTTGTTTGGTATTGCTAAAAATCTCTCTCTTCGAACCACGACCGCTTCGCGCGGCAGGCAACGCGCTTTGAGCCGGCCCACACGAACCACACCGAGCCATGCCCGACGACGCAGTCTCCTCCTTCATTGGCGCCAAGCGCGACGCTCTCTACGCCTGGGCTGCTGCGCAGCGGGACGCGGCAATCTCTCACGCAAAGGCTTCGGCCGAGGCCACCGCGGCCGGCGCGCGCGAGGCTGCGGCCTCCACTGCGGGCGCGGGCGCAGACTGGGCGGTGGAGGCGACGGCGGCCCCCCGCGCGCGAGCGCTCGGCGCGGCCCGCGAAAAGTACGCCGAGTACACCGCGATGGAGGCGCGCGCGCTCGAGGTCTTGAACCGCGAGTCGCGACGGCTCGCGACGCAGGTGCTGGAGGCGGGCGAGGCGGCGCAGTCGATCGCCGCTACGAGCGGTGCGGCTGCGGCGGCGCAGGCCGAAGCGTCGCTCGTCGCCGCGGCGCGGCAGGCGTCGGCGCGCGCGGCTGCCGCAAGCGACGCCTACCCCGAGGGCGTCGCGGCGGGTGCTGCGGTGGCCGGTGCGGCGGCGGGCGGATCTCTACTTGCGGCGGCCGGCGCGGCGGCGGCGGCCGGCATCGCAGTCGGCCCTTCTCTCTCGGCCAAGTGGTCGCCCGCCGCGACGCAGCTCGCTGCCACAGCGGCCGACGTCATTCAGCTCGCGGACGACTCCGTCTTGTCCGCCGTTCGGTCGGCGACGGCGGCGGCGCGGCAGTAGAAGAGAGGCGCGTTGGGAGTGCGACGTGATGAGGCGGGCGCGGCGAGCCACACCCCCCCCCCCACCCCACCCCACCCCACCCCCACCACCCACATCTACCCACCCCTGATCTCTCGCACACCCACACCAGTCACCTCGCCCCTTTGCCTCGCCGAACCTCCCCCCCTTCCCCGTGCGCCGGCAGGCGCGGTCTCACGGCGCGCGCGCGCCGGAGGGGGGAGGGGGCGACCCCCCGCGGAGGAGAGGAGGGTGGTGTGTGTGCGAGGCAGCGCGCCGTGACTAGGCGCGACGGCGAGCGAGACCGCGGCCGGCTCGGGGGCGGCGGCCGAGGCGGGCGCGGCGGCGGTCGGCGACAGGGCCGTCGATGCGTGGCGCAGCGCGGCGGCTGGCGCGAGGCGGTTGGCGGGCGAGAGGCCGGCGGAGCTGGTCGGTGGGCGCTGCAAACACGAGACAGTATGTGGCGGGGGAGCCTCCGCACGGTCCACTCACACTGCAGCACACTCGGCACACTGCAGCACACACTCAGGCGGGGGGCGGCGGCACACTGCAGCACACTGCAGCGGGGGACTGCGGCGCACTGCAGCACACGTAGACGCGGGACTTCCGTACAGCTCACGCCGCGGGGCGAGCACGCACACGTGGCACGACGGCCGAAGCACTAGGACCGACACCCGGCCGGATCGGCAACACTGAAGGTGGGTGTACGGTGGGCGGGGCCGCGCTGCTGGGGCGCAGAGCGTCGCTGCTCAAGGTGTCCCTCCTAGACACTCTTTAGTTGCGCCCGACGCTTCTCTCCCCGCCGCCGCACCACGCCACCGCTCACGCCGCCTCGCCGCCGCGCCGCTCCGCCCCGCGCCGCTCCCCCCGCCCTCCTCTCACCTCTCCCTCTCCCTCTTGCTCTGGCCCGTGGTTCTGCAGTACACACAGTACTCTCAAACAATCTAGGTGTCGCTCCTCGCGGCCGCCGGTCCCTACGATGCTGAAGACGTAGTCGTTCCTCTTCCGCGGCTAGGACTCGAGAGGACTCGAGAGGACACTGCATGCCTCTGTCTTCCACCATATCTCCCCATATCTCCGCATATCTCCCCCATCTCTCCCCCATCTCTCCCCATCTCTCCCCATCTCTCCCCATCTCTCGCTGTCTTCCGCCGCATTCAGCTGCGTTCAGCTGCGTTCAGCTGCACTCGTTTCCCTCGTGTCCCTCGTATCCCCGCCCCGCATGCAAATGCGCGCGGTGCACGAGACCGCGGACCCCGCCCGTGTACTGAGGCTGCTCCCGCCCTGATGCTGGTGCACTGAGGCTGCAGGCCGCGGTCGGCTGGTCCCTGCGCGGCCAGCTCGCGGGCCAGTACGGCGCGGAGGCGGCGGCGGCGTCCGCCTCCCTCTCCGCCGCGGCGCGCGCTGCTGCGCAGGCGGCGGGGGCGCTGCCTCCCGAGCTCCCGCCACCGTGACGAGGAGGGGTCGCTCGAGCGATTGGGCGCGAGGCTCGTCCAGGCGAGTGTGTGCTGGAGTGGGTTGGTCCGCGCCGTGGCGCGTGTGTGGTGGGTTGTGTGTGCTGTGCTGCTGCCAGTGCAGGCCAGCCGGGCAGCGCGTGTGACGGGTTTGTGCTGTTGTGAAACTGCCCGTCGCCCGTGTGCGTTCAGGGACGAGGGAGTGGCGTGGTCCACCGGAGTTTGATTCTCATGCTGAGGGTGCGTCTCTCTTGCACTCTGGCCCGAGATGCGATCGAGTCGTTGCAGAGCGCGCGATCGGCTGGCGACGGGGTCTCCACTGCTCACCTGGTGGCGCAAAGTGAGTTTTGAATATATCTCGTCTACGTAAGAACGCCGCGTTGTACCGATCTGCAAGCGGCTCTCCGAGGCGAACGAGCGCAGAGCGTTCGCTTTGCTCTGATCCCTTGGCACTCGGTCGAGACGACCACGAGGCTGATGGTGATGCGCGTCTCCACGGCGAAAGAAGTGCCGAGGAGGCCATGGTGGAGGGGAGGGACGGGAGGATGAAAGAAGGGCGAGGAGGACGAGCGGCCCGCACAGGCCGCGAGCAGACAGCGCCTGCTGGCCATCTCGAGACATTCGCAAAGAACGCTAGCTACATGGGAGGGCTTCGTGAAGGATGGATTGAAAACCATTCGAACAAAGAAGAGGCGGACGGGAGGAACCGGCAGAGGATGCAGTGACGTGACACACACACACACACACACACACACACACACACACACACACACACACACACACACACACACACACACACACACACACACACACACACACACACACACACACACACCGCTCACCCACGCGCACCGGGCCTTGCACTTTAAATGCCGTGGGGCTCCTGTCGTTAGACGTGGAGACGCGAGGGTCGCCCCCCCTTGCCCCACCACCTCGTGTGTGTGGAGAAGTTTACCTTACCTTACCTTACCTCCACGGCGAGCCGGCAGCCGCGAGCGCCTTGATGTCGCGCTCACTCACAAAATACGTCGAGCCCTCGATCTTCAGCTCCGAGCGCGACACCGTGTCTGTCGGCGCGCCCGCTCTCCCCGCGTCGCACATCCCGCGGTAGACATCGTTTTTCATGACCTGGATCTTGCCCGGCCACCTGGCATGAAGGACGCTGTGATGCAGTCGTCGTCGATCTCGTACACGAGGGCAGTGTCCCACTAAACACCGAGGCGGTCGAGCGCCACGAGCGGCGCGCCGCAGCCCGCTCCGATCAGCAATACGTTGATCGGCTTGGGGATCGTGACCTCTGCCAGAGTCGCGAGGTCAGCGGCAAATCCCCGGGGGTTCCAACATACCGGCAGCGCTGCGACGGCAGCATTCGCAGCAGCCAACGTGCGAGCCATCTCCACCGGGCTGCGCTGCGCAAACTTGATGTACGACCCGTCGCGGAGCGACGGGAAGGAGAAGCGGGGCCGTCGGCGAATCCGGGCCCTGCCCCCCCCCCCCCGTCTTGAGGGGAGACGAGAGCTAGGCCCCCCCCTGCGAGTGGGGTAGTCGGCCGACGCGTGGAACCGCGGCTGGAACGGCCGCCGGGGCAGGGGGCCGCCCCCGAGGCCCCGCTCCAGGCGTTGCGGCTGCCGGGACCGCCACCATGCCCCCCCCCCCCACCAACGAATATGGTTTCGGGGGTGGGGTGGCCGTTTGGGTCAAGGGGCCCCTGCTGGTGTTTTTCACCAGGAGGCTGGGGTCGCCGGGTGCTGTCACCTGGATCTGCCACCCCCGGATCGTGTTCGGCGCCCTTCTTTGGGAGTTGTCTCTCAGGGTCTTGGGGGCCGCCTATTTGGGGCCTCTTTTCAAGGGGATGCGACCCCCTGGGTTCCTCCCCCCG